TTGCGGTAGGAGAGCACGTTTTTATTTATTATTTTAGACTTCCACTCATGGTTGCTAAAGGTCCAACTGATGGGGAAGAAATACTTAACCTCACTAGTGGTCTTAAAAACAGTACTGCTGCAGGGGAGGACGGTCTCAAATCCGAACCAATTAAGCATATTTCTAAACTAATATCCACTCCGCTAGCACATATATGCAACATGTCATTATTAGTAGGTCGTTTCCCAGACCGAATGAAAGTAGCGCGAGTTTTCGTTATACATAAGGGTTGTGCACAAAACAACTTCAATAATTAGAGGCCAATTTCTGTATTACCCGTTTTTTCTAAAATTTTAGAAAAAATAATAAATAGTCGACTAACTAGTTTTTTTGCAAAACACAAAATAATTTCAAAACAGCAGTTCGGATTTCAAAGAAATAAATAGACGGAAATGGCACTTCTAAACATTAAAGATAAAATTATAACCATTATAGAAAATAAGCACTATATTATCGGAATATTTCTTGACTTTCGAAAAGCCTTCGACTCAATTAAGCACGAAATACTGTTAACAAAGCTGAGTACCTATGGTGTAAGGGGCAAAGCGCTAGAATTAATATACAGTTACTTGAGCTCTCGCTAACAATTTACCACCTATAACGGCGTTAAGTCTGATATTCAACAAATCACATATGGTGTCCCACAAGGATCCATTCTAGGACCATTATTGTTTCTTGTTTATATTAATAATATTGTACATATCTCGCATTTTGCGGACATCGTAATATTTTCAGACGAATCCAATATTTTCTTCTCCCACAATGACCTCAGACATCTCGAAAGTGTATCAAATGATTGGTTAAACAAACTATCCACGTGGCTAGTGACAAACCAGATTGAAATGAATATTTCTAAAACTAAATATATTATTTTCGGGGCAAAAAACAAGGCACTTAATTATGAAATCGATATAAAATTTAATTCAAACAAATTAGAGAAGGCTGAATCCATAAAGTTCTTGGGTGTGTAGTTTCACGAAAATTTGTACTGGACAATTCATGTATCTAAACTATGTTTGACTCTCTCACGTTCAATCGGCATATTACATAAACTAAGACTTTTACTACCAACATGGCTTAAGCGCCAATTATACAGTGGGAATGACATCAAAAAGCAACCTTGAAAAACTTTTAGTACTCCAAAAAAAAAAAGCAATTCTGTCCATGGCATGCTTGTGTTATAATGATCACACGTACATTTATTTTAAGAAGTATAATTTATTCACTATCCAACAGCTAATATTTTTCGACTTCGCGAAAGTAATCTTCAATTCTCTTAAAAGCAACATGGAGTCCTTTGTTACTCAATTTCCGTTAAGAGACACCCAATACAACTTGAAACGTGTGGAATTTGATAGAGGCCGAATGCGTACTTTAGTCGGTTGCAAGCTAAGAAAAAACCGGAAATACCTCTCAGAGGAAAATGTAATCATACGCCGAGAAACGCCAGCCAATCGTTTTCATGACGTCACGATTCCGTGGACCAATCGCGATCCTTTTGAAGAAAAAAAAAAAAGCTCAACATGGCTGCTGGCCTTAGCAACGCGACGCTAGTTTCTCGTGACAATCATTCTGCTTTTTTGCACCGTGTTTTACGTGCCCGAGGTTACGCCACGAAATCTTAATGGTATTGGCTTGCGTTTGCAGCAGTTTTTGCGCGACAACGTGAGAATCCAGCGACGCTATCGCCAACCAAAATTTCGAAGCGGGCGCGAGGCTTAGCACTGCTGAGAGGTATGTTAGACGGTATGTTAGACAGTATCTTGGACAGAAAATGAATTGGGAAGACGGTACATTGGACATGACTTTCTTTCTTTACTAAACAGCTATTTCGTTGACAAAAACGTACTCTAACTTATTTAAATGTCCTGAATGAATTAAATAATTATTTTAGTAGTTTAAGACACGTTTCCTGGAGGAAGAAAAAGCAACGTTGCTAGCGAACTACTTTCTCGACGGCGGAGGCACTTCAGATGGGCTCAATGCGCTTGCGGGTGGAGCTAAAAGATTGTTCTTAGGTTGCATCCGAGTATAATTATGGAGAACGAACATTGAAGCAGCAATTAACACAACTTTTAAATATGCATCCACAAATTCTTGATACAGCAACTAAATCAAGATCTGCAAATACATTTAAAAAATAATAAAGGATTATATGTTCAAGCATGTATAAAGTCTTGTGAAAAAAATCTGCCAGACATTTCGTTGCGTTAGAAATGTACATATTTCTTGTTATTTTTGTTATGCTCTTGAGTTTTATTTGTATATATGCTGTGCGTAAATATGTGCATCTGCACTTGAAATTTTCAAAATGACGCGATTTTAGACAGAGCTTGTACGCCAGCCTGATGCTAGGTACAGCCCACTCGGCGGAGCAGACACATAAGGGTGAGAGGGGGAGGGCATTTTTTTTCTCGGCGCCTGCACGTAGCAATCTACGATTTTCATCAAAGCTGTATTTCATGGTTCGGTTTTATTTTGTAATAATACAAAGTGTAGCTTCCTTTTCGAAAAAAGGGCCAAAAAACTTGCCAGCGTCAAAATCGGATGGCGACGCAAACAACCGAGTCGAGTGGCGGCGCGCGTTTGGAGCACGTATTGATAGATAGCGCTATTTCGTTATCCAGACCGCTCATGACGACAGTGATTTAATTAAATAAACGTAATATTTTTGTAATATACCTTTGGTATAAAAATAAATGCGAACATTGAGAGCAAAACTTAAGTAAAAAAGGTAAGAAAAAAAAAACGTGGTTGCATAACGACGGCGCTCTTGCTGCCTAAAGATGTCAGCTGCTTCTCGTCTGCTTTCTTTCGCTGGTCGGCTGCACCCTCTGACACCGCTTCCTATGCCATCTATCAATATGTGCGCCAAACTCGCCCCGCAGCTCGACTAGGTAGTCTGCGTCACCGTCGGCCGTTGACCTCGGGAAGTTTTTGGTCCTACTTTTTTTTAGAGAAAGAGGGCTGCGCTTTGTAGTTTTAACAAGTTAAAACCGACCTGTTAAATACGCCTTTGGCAAAAAACAGATCTCTACGTGCAGGCGGCGATTTTTACGACCAATTCTAGATCGAGCCTGGAGACTTCAGCCACGCTATAGTTGAGCATAAAGCGTGTCATCATTGCCCGAGACAGATCTTTTTTGCGCCTCGTTTGAACGAGGAAAGTTAATTCTTTGATATTTTCGCTCCAAGCTTCCACCATCTAGCCGCACCGCTGTAGTAAATTGTAGCAGGATACGTTGAGATAACAATTTTTGTATACCTTCTCAAGGTGGCTAGAATGGTTAACGTACACAGTTTGGTTATCACACCGTATTTACACGATGGGTCGACGCACAGCTTATAGTAACCGCACGTCAACTTTTTTTGCAAAGAAAACAAGGAGGGACTGCTCCCGCTTTGCGCAGAAAGCAAATCTGCACGAAGACGTTAACTCTGTAAGTCAGAGAGCTCCTCCTGTCAAGGCACCAAGGCGTTATTCATAAATAGCGCGTCGATTACCGGCCGGTGTCGATACGATATGTTATATATATTATTTCTGTCGGCTCAGAACTTTGCAACACTTAGGGTAAACATTATATGTGAAAAGTATTCCAGGTCGGAACAGATACGCACCTTGTTTCTTCAACTGGAGCTTCTCGAATGCCACGAGTCAATGTCGTTCCTCGTTGTTTTTTCTCTTCTTCTTGCAAATCTCCTTGATAAGGTGAACGCTTTGTGCTCTACGCAAGACACGTGCCACGAGCGAGCGCTTCACATCTACAAACTACGGTGGCTAAAAAAAAAAAAAAAAAAAAACATTGGGGTGTGTGTACCTTTATACAGAATAGAAATTAAGATAGTGAACCAAGGAATTTAGTGTCCACAATAAGTGGCGCACGTTCTTTCCACGAGCCAGCAGCTGCCAGTGTTCGCGAGGCCACGCAACAAAAAAAGACGTCAAAGACCTCCATTCGCGGTTAAGATGACACTGAAATATATGGGCTTCAGGCCAAAGGAGAATAAAGACAAATTTTTGATCAACACAGGGGTGTCTAGTGTAAAAGGTAAGCGATCAATTGGTCTAACAAGCACGTAACTTTCACTTGTAGAGATAAAAAGCCTGTCTTTCTTCTCCTTTGGCCCGAAGCCCATACATTTCGCTGTCACCTGGTGCAACCATACTCAATTGGAATGTTTTTCACTTGACACGAGCTTGCTGGCACACCTGGGACTCAAGAATACTCACACGCAACGCCACTGGCCAAGAAACTCCTTTGTTGCGGTGTAATTTCAAGGACAAAGGCGATCATTTATATTCAATCTCTCCTTTGCAAAATTTGATGACGTAACGTGGGGATCGCAGTGTAGTGATGTAGATTTTATGTTTGCGCGTGATCACCGTATATAGCGGCGGCGACGAAGAAGAGGAAGGGAAATAAAGCCAGTGAATGGGAATGGCGGCCCGATTCTTATTCTGCCCGCCGCGGTAGCACTCTGTTTGTTCAGCACACTTGCAACGCTACATTGGCGACGAGGATGTGTTAGGCAGTCTTCAGCTACTGTTCTGGCAAGTGTCCACCCTCTACGACCTCGCAGCGCGCCGCCGCTGTATCACAAGCCGCTAGCTTCACAGCCAAGCCTACTGTTCTCCACTAATGATGACCCTCATTCCAACCTCACTGCCCCCTTTTGACTTGGATGCCACTGACCCAACTAATATCGGCACCGAATGGCGAAAGTGGATCACTCGCTTTGAAAACTTCCTCATCGCTTTCGATGTGAAGAATGACGCACGCAAACGTTCTCTCCTGCTCCACTATGCGGGGGAACGTGTCCATGAACTCTGCGATACCCTTCCTGACCAGCAGAGTGGTCCCACTTCAAGTACGACGCCAGATGCTGATACACCCTCAGTAACGACCAGAAACTCATACCAATCTCTCAAAGACAAGCTTGACGCATACTTCAATCCCCGCATGAACACCACTTTCGAGGTCTTTCAGTTTCGTCAGGCAAAGCAACTCGAGGGCGAATCTGTCGGCCAATTCTCGATAAGGCTTCGACTGCTTGCCCGCAATTGCGGTTTCGCGAACGCCGACGAGGAAATCAAGAACCAGATCATATTTGCAACGACATCTTCACGCCTACGACGAGTAGCCCTAAGGCAAGACCTTAACCTTCCATCACTTTTGAATCAGGCTCGACTCCTCGAGGATGTCAACCGAGCAACGACTGCCATGGAAGGGTCGTCAACAACCACCACGGTTCAAGCAATCTCTGGACAGCCTCGCTACGGCCATGCAGGCACATCCAGAAATGCCCAACAACCTCGCTGCTTCTCTTCCCGTCTGAAATATGGAGGCAGCGCACAACAACGCACCCACGTCTCGCCTCCCCAGTGTTTCCACTGTGGTGCTCCCTGGCCCCACGAGGGAGGACAAGTAAACTGCCCCGCCAAATTTGCCTCTTGCAAAGCATGTGGCAGAAAAGGACACTATGGCAAGGTGTGCCAATCAGCACACAAGCCTATCTTCCAGATTTCTCATGATTCTGACTCCGACGAGAGCGTTTATGCTGTCGGAACTATATCACAAGTATCGCACCAAAACCTCCCAGAGGTTCATCTGCAGGTTAACAACACCCCTATAACATTTCTTATTGACACAGGTGCTTCAGTATCGGTCATTGGAACCTCTACCCTTAACAAGCTTGGAGCACTCACAAAACTCCAACAAGCAGGCACGCGTATTTACGCCTATGGATCGGATGCTCCGCTACCAATCATAGGAAAGCTCAGTGTCACGCTGAAGTACAGGGACAGCGACACAACAGAAGACGTGTTCGTAATAGAGGGAACCGTGAAGTCACTGCTGAGCTTCGCTGCTGCAAATAGACTGGGCCTAATCCAAATTACTTACGCCATCCAAGGACACTCACAAAAAGATGCACGCTCGAATGGAGAGGTGCCCCCAAATTTGCTCGAGACCCCACTCGCTGCTTTTCCCGAGTTGTGTGCGGGTGTAGGCAAACTAAAAAACCTCCAAGTACACCTCCACATTGACAAAGCCATTGCCCCGGTTGCTCAGCCCCATCGCAGAATCCCTTTTGCAGTGCGAAGCAAAGTAGAAGAGAAGATAAGCCAGCTCTTGGCCCTTGATATCATCGAAGGAGCAACCGGACCTACTCCATGGGTTTCACCAGTCGTAATTGTGCCAAAGCCGCACAATCCAGAAGACATTCGCCTATGCATCGACATGAAATGTGCGAATAGGGCCATTCTTCGCGAGAGGCACGTCTGCCCTACCATCGACGACGTGATCACAGCGCTGAACGGATCAACACTCTTCACGAAGCTTGATCTAAAAGATGGGTACCACCAACTAGAACTTGATAATGAATCAAGAACAATCACAACATTTGCAACACACAACAAATTGTACCGCTACAAACGACTTATGTTTGGAATTAACGCGGCTGCCGAGGTTTTCCAGGAAACCATCCGTCAAGTACTCAACGGCATACCTCACGTCCTCAACATCAGTGATGATATACTTGTGTTTGGCAAGACAAAGGATGAGCATGATCAGGCTCTCCAGGCAACTCTCGAAAGGTTGACAGAGAACGGCCTCACAGTTAATCCAAAAAAATGTCTCTTCGCACGGAAAGAACTCTGTTTTTTCGGTCACATTTTCTCTGCTTCTGGAATCAGAACAGACCCCCAGAAAATCGCAGCACTAAAAAAAATGCCGGCCCCTGCCAACGCTCATGAAGTTCGAAGTCTGCTTGGTACAGTAAATTACAGCGGACGCTTCCTACCTAACCTTGCTGATATAACGTACCCTCTTCGGCTTCTCACAAAAAAGAACACCAAGTGGGTGTGGGGACCAGAAGAGCAAGGTGCTTTGGATACGCTGAAAGAAAAGCTGTCTGAGATCCCCAACCTTGTCTTTTTTGATGGTACAAAAGAAATAATTCTCACGGTCGACGCGTCGCCTGTTGGCCTTGGTGCCATACTAGCACAGAAGGAAGGCAACAACACCGAGATTGTCGCATATGCTAGTCGGGCTTTGACCCCCACTGAAGCACGGTACTCTCAGATTGAACGTGAGTTGCTTGCAGTTGTCTGGGGGACAGAGCACTTTCATCTGTATCTTTACGGTAACAACTTTCTCATTCGCACAGACCACAAACCCCTTGTCTCCATCCTCACCAACCCACGGGCGTGTCCATCGGCACGAATTGAACGCCTCGTGTTGAGAATCCAACAATACAACTTCAGAGTGGAGCACAAGTGTGGAATCAACAACCCCTCGGATTACCTGTCTCGCCATCCCATGCCGAGCTCCCCTGCTGACGCCCGCCTGGCTCATAGCACTAATGCATATGTCAACTTCATTGCCCACCACAACATTCCCAAAGCCATGACTCGTGCAGAAGTAGCTGCCGCCACTCTAAACGACCCTCATATGCAAAAGGTGATCGCTGCCCTCAGCAATCCTGCCAGGTGGAACGACCCAGCACTCAGAGAGTTTATATCCGTACAGCACGAGCTCTCTCTGACGGACAGCGGCCTACTACTGAAAGGCAATTGCCTCGTTCTACCGGCTGCTCTCCAGCAACAGGCGATATGTCTCGCTCACATTGGGCACCAAGGCATCTCCAAAACAAAAGCGCTCATGAAGCGAAAAGTATGGTTTCCCCACCTAGACAGCATGGTACAAACTACTCTTAAAAACTGTATGGCGTGTCAGGCAACCATCCAACATCAACACTCTGACCCCGTCGCGATTCCATCGAAGCCAAATCAACCTTGGGAGGCGCTCTCACTTGACTTCGCGGGGCCTTTCCCTAACGGCAAATACATAATGGTCCTAATGGATGATACGTCACGTTACCCTCTCGTGGCGGCATTATTGATCACGCGCAAACATAAAATCTACATCACTACATCACTTCCCCCGAGGAGCAAAGAAATGAACAGAGCGAAACGCTTTTCAGGAGCAGTACACCCAAGTGACGAGTGAAAGGGGACGCGGGCCTGTACCTTCCACTGCATTGCCAAGAAAAGTTGTCGCGGAGTATAAATGGCTCTGAGGCAGAGCTCGAGCGCCAGAAGCATGCCAGGGAACGAGCGTCGCGTGCACTTTCAGATCGCGTGTTCTTCATTCGACTCTACGCTATGCCCAGACGCATCGCAACATGAAGGCCTCTTCTCTTCTGACCCGAGACCGCACCGCTAGCGCCCCGACTGCCCCGTTGGACACAGCGCTTGTTTTCGGACACGGCACTTTCCAACGGCTGGCACTGCTGTGCGCCACGCTTTCCATCTTCATCGCAGTAAGCAACGGTCTCGCCGCCGTGGTATTCGCACGGCCCGTGGAACACTGGTGCAGACCACCGGCGGAGCTTGCTTTCATGCAGACCGACGTCTGGAAGAACCAGAGTATCCCCGTGGAACCGGACGGCACGTTCAGCAAATGCACCCGCTACGAGCCTCTACTGGACGCGGGAAATGCCACGGAGAACCGGACTGTGGTCTTCTGCAACGAGTGGGACTACGACCTGGCGACCGCGGGGAAGTCCATTGTCAGCGAGTGGAACCTGGTTTGCCACAGACACCGGCTCCTTTTGCTCCATTCGCTCGCATACTACGGAGGAGCCATCGCCGGGAGCGTCATCGGGTGCTTCGGGGACAGCCTTGGCCGCAAACCTGTCTTCATGGTCGCGCTCTTACTTCAAGTCGCCTCCGGCACGACCACGATCTTGTCCAACACGGTTCTCACATTTATCATCTTGCGCTTTCTAACATCGGTGACATCTCTGACAGTTATGAACATGGCATCTGTTCTGCTGTTCGAGGTGACGAAGACAACGCATCGCGTCGTCTTCTGTGCCTTTGCCGCCTCATGCACATCTGCGGCGCTGCAAATGTTCCATTTCCTCTTACTGGCAGTAGGTGGACACTGGAGGGTGGCTCAGGCGATACTTATGGTGCCGACATGCTTCCTCCTGTTCGCCTCTTACGCCATTGAAGAGTCTCCTTGTTGGCTGCTGGGCTTGGGCGACGTCGAAGGCACCGAGCGCGCCGTGATTTCGGCTGCCAGGGTCAATGGCTATCCCCTGGACGACGTGAAGGTCAAGATGAATAAGATCAAGTACGAGACGTTGCGGAGGGGCAACACGCAAACGAACGTACAACAACCAAGCCCCCTTGACCTTGCGCTGAACAGCTCTCTGCGTTTCCGAGCCGTCGTCCTTTTTTCGTGTACGCTCATGACGATTCTTCACTACTACGACACCTCTTTCGACAAGACCTTGGTGGAAAACCGGACGGGGCACATCACCCTAATAGTTGCGCGGCTACCTGTCTCGACAGCTTTCTTGTATGTCCTGCACTACATGAGCCGGCGCAAGATACTTTGCGTCACCATGTTACATATGTCGGTCGTGCTGGGCTTTCAGGCTTGGCTGGTTTGGCAAAAGGACAACACCATTCAGCCCATTGTTACAATTATCATTAAGGGAATTCTTCTGGACATTATTTCAATGGCGATGTTCGTTTATGTGTTAGAGATATTCCCCACCGTGCTACGAGCTACGAGCTTCTCTTTAGGCTCCATGTTCGGTAGGACCGGAGTCGTGCTATTGCTCTTGATCAGGGGGCCCAACCCGCCAATTAATCGAGCCCTCGCCATGGCGGTAAGCGCGGTCATATTTACTCTGATCGGTTTAGCTTTCCTTGCTTTACCCGAAACGACGAAGGTCATGGCCACCAACACCATTCGCGAGACAGAACTTGAGGATATGTGGCAGGTGCCTGCTAGAGAAGACTTTACGCGTCGCAGATCTGTTTCTTCGCATTCAAATGTTTCTAAGAAATCCTAGACGCAATTTGTTTCATTAACGTCGCTTTACATTATGGGACGTTTTATAAAAGAAAAACGTGCAATGTGTCAGTGGCGTCATCTTCTATACGCGCCTCCCTTGAATCCGCAAGTGCTCATGCACCATAGAATAGATGGTGTTCGCTTCAGACAGAAATCCCTGCGTACACGCCTCAGAAATGTCGGAAAAATATTTTCTTCACACATATGAATGATTCGAACACGTCTGTAGCAGGGGTTTTCTCAGGAATTGAAATTAGGGGGTGCCTAAATTTTTAGGGGGCGGGGGGTTGTGTTAGGGGGGGGGGGGGAAGTGAGAATAGAGTCGTTGCGAGTTAGGAGGGTGCCTCCAGAAAAACAGGGGGCGGGGGGGACACCCTCTAGGGGGTGGGTAGGGAAATCACCGGTCGGTAGACTTTTTGAATGGTAAAGCATTAACTATACCATGGAGTGGAGCCGGCGGCGCCGGTAACCGTAAAAAACCACTAAAGAAATTCCCATTCACCCACTGCCTAAGCAAAACGGCTCACATTGCGAATTCGGTGGTGAATTTCCGACCAGCCCTTGCCGGTGTCACCGGCGACCAAAAACCCGCCAGCGGTGCACCACGTGACCCTCTTCACCCGAACAGAAAGCGCCGGCAACCGGCGTTTTTTTTTTTGCCTGGGTTGCGCGTGAGCTTTGTTAACTTCCTCCTCGGTTATTCTATGGAACAATAAGAACGCTGTATGTATCAACAATATAAAATCTGACTCCTTGAGATGTGTGTAAACACAAGCGGCTTCACAAAAGTTTTCGAATTATTAACATTACAACGGTCCGCACAGCTTGGAGGATCTTAAGTTATAAAGTTAAATGAAAAGCACAATATTAAATCGTTCTGGGGCTGTCCGCACACACGTCAAATTTCTATATACCAGTGTTTGGATTTCAGAGGAATTGTCGCTATATTACAAGAGTCACATGGAGGCTTGAAAGCGTCGATTTTCACATTCTGTTTATTGTCATTGCCTTTTTTGGAGTCCTCAGTTTTCTCACTGCGCCCACCCCCCTTGAAATTGAAATGAGCATTCGAGTGCCGAACTCCATCACTATGCATACACTTTTTTTTTTTTCGAGGGGTTAATAACGTGTTTTTACACAGTTGTAAAAGAAAATAATATGTGATGCAGCTTGTGTCTCAGAGCAAACTGACCTAGCACGAGCTGGGGGGGGGGGGGGGGGGGGGGAGGGAAACGTTTTCCAAAAATATTGGCTTTCTCTGAAACATCAATTATCTTTATCTTCGTTGTTTTCGCTATATTGTAATGCTATGGTAAAAAGAAAACAGCAGCTATGGCGGATAATAGCTGACAATCTTATTGATCATGGAGAAAGCACTCGAAGAGATGAAGAATATTAACCGTTGCGAAGTTTTTCTTTGTAACGGCGCGGTGCTTTCTGAGGTGGCTCCACCAGCTCCTTCTGCTCACCTTCCCTTTGGACAGTGTATTCAGATCAAAATTACTTTCTGTTTTCAATCAAACATCAAAAATTTGTTTTTATTAATCAGCGCGATCGCTGTAAGTTTAGTCCAACTCCCCTAAATGTTCACGTTCCACGCATCGTAATTTGCACCAATAAGGTTTGCAGAAATTACTTCCATACAGTGTAGCAGTACAACGTACGAAGAGGGCTTTCTTAACAGGAATATGTAACTTACATACGCCTTGACGCGAATATGATTACAAAATCACAGAGGGAACTTTAAAACCACTGCTGGCAACTTCTTTAGGACGCAGAGGGGTGGGTGGTTGACTGATCATATATATAATCTTCGAAGCCTTCACTGCTTTACAAGCATTATCCTCTCATTGCACACACTCTGGGAAAACAAAAATACTTCCACATCTTCTACTGCGTCCGAACGTTTTCAGCCTTGAACGTAAGAATACGGAGTTCCCTCCAACGCGGTGGACGAGGATGCGGAGAAGTTCCTGTTAAGGTTCCCACTCTGATAATAACAACAGGTATACCTACTCGAAGAAGGTGAACGGTCAGCATGTGGTACAGTGAATTCCTGTGTTGAAAACAGCGAATATCAATAACCACACATAAATGGCGGCGCCTCATTTTTGGTCATTTCGAACGTCTGCCTCCAAAGCCAAGGAAACAAACGAGCTTTGACGGCTATCGGCGCAAAAAGCAGACGACGAGCAGACGGCGAACAGATCACGTGATCTGTTTACTCGATTTGACTTGACGTTTCTCACCGATTGGGGAGTGTAGCGTGAAAAATTACTCCGGAGTAAACAACCCGCTTTTGCAACGCGAGTTCTGAGGTCATGGAGTAAGCGTGAATAAGTTTGGAAACGCCACGGTACGGAACCTTTACTCCGGAGTCGGATCGAGTAAGTTTTGTAACACAGCCTCCGTGAAAGAAGGCACTGCAAAGGCTGGGGTGCGCGAGCGTCTTAAGACTCGGTAAGAGTCCCACTCAGCTCGTGGTCTAACCTTGGCAGTGCTTTGTTTCCTCCACTCTCAGCTGAGACGCTGTTTTCAGCAAATCGCCCCTGTTCCTCTCAGCACCGAGTTACATGGCGCCGCCTGAGGAAACTACATCGTCAGCGACCGCAACCTCGGCGGTCGTGAAACGCAGCCCTCCACGCCAGCACACCGCAGACGAACTAAGGGAGCGGAAGTAGGCCATCCATGCTTCAGGCAACACGCCTCAGGCAGTGTCTGCAGAACGCGACAGAACAGCACACGACAAAACAGCACGCGACAAAACAGCACGGTCAAAACAGCACGCGTCAAAACAGCACAGCGTCAAAACAGCACGGCGACAAAACAGCACGCGTCAAAATAGCACGCGACAAAACAGCACAGCGTCAAAACGGCACAACGACAAAAGAGCACGTGCCAAAACAGCACGGCGTCAAAACAGCACAGTGACAAAACAGCACGCATGTAGCAACTTCGAGCGCGCTCTTCACCTCTCTCTGCGCAAATAATTTTGAACCTCCCTGACCCTTTCATATTTTGGTGCTAGGTTGTAAAGGATCGGGGCATACTTGAAGAGATTGGGTAGTTAAAGGTGATATCTTCGCGTCGATGTTGGCCGCGTTGTCTGGTCTTTTCTGTAGGACCAGAGAAAGCGG